CCAACCAAACAGAATAGGCCAGTGGGGTGAAGAGATACTGTGTATGCTTCCTCCTGATATTGCTTGTACAGCTCCAAAGTGCTGAAAGGGAGAACCATCACTCAGTATGCAACAGTTCAAACTCCCCATGCATGCCTGGTGAAACAACATCTGGCCCAGCAGGACAACTACAGCTACAATCTGACTCTGCCTTGTCCTTGCGGAAATGTGTTGCCAGTTGCTTATGATCACTGAGGTGTTACAGGAAACAAAGACAATGCTGAACCCTCTGCCAGACAGACAAGGTGGGGAAAGTGCAACAGAAAATACTTATTTATTGTTTTACAAGGAAAAAGGTGAATGAACTTTTAATTGCAAACATATATACACAAACATCTGTTCGAAGAGGTCTTTCCCTCTAAGGATCCTTAAAATCTGGACTCGCTTTGTTGAAGAACTAGGGCCAGGAAAAAGGAGACAGGACAACAACATCTTAAGACAAAGTTGAACAATATATTCCTAAAGATTTTTTTTCCAAAACATATGAGAAATTTGAAACCAAAATAGCATAACAGAGACAAGCTCTTATTCTGTTCATATTGATCCTAAAAGGACTGCATATTCACACTCCCCAAACCATATGAATAAGACTATTTGCATCCCACATGAGAATTTTACCAGAACAATATGGCTGTTCATATATGGATTGCTGCCGTTTCCTGCTAAATGCAATATACAGAAAAGCAAGAGATGAGAGCAAACACAAATAACTCTTTACTTGGTCTTGTAATTCCAGATGCGGACAGATCTGTCCAGGGAACAAGTAGCGACAATCGGCTTCCGGATACAGCTGTCGAGACCAGTGATGGAATTTGAATGTAATGGGAAATGCAGATGTATAAAATGAGCTAACTTCTCCTGAGAAGCAATGAGAACACAGACAAATCAAGCGAGAGCAAAACATAATTGTAGGTATTCAAAGAAATGCAAGTTAGGCAAACAATAAAACTGGACCTGCAATATTTTTGTTAAGACACTTAATTTCTGCTTAGATAAACATTTAAAAATAATCAAGTGCCGAGTAATAAACAAATTAATCAGAATGCTCAATAACAGCATGCTGGAAATTAAGAGCCAATAACATTTTGAACTGCAGGCACAAAAAAAAAAAAAAAAAAAAAAAAAAAAAAAAAAAAAAAAAAAAAANAAAAAAAAAAAAAAAAAAAAAAAAAAAAAAAAATCCAATAATTACATAACTCCTTTCTGTAAAGACTTTTTATATGACTGCATATAGGTAAGGTACTTAGTTCCATGCCAGTTAATTTCATTACAGTACATTTATCTCCTGTCCTTGGATCTTTTAATTCCTTTAGAGTATGGAACGTATTTCTTTAATTTGTCCTTCACAGCAGGGTTTTACTTCTAATTAGGACTTCAACAGCTACTATTTTAGACTAACATAAGATACCCATGGCTAACTTTTGTTTTTTTCATTACATTAATATTTCTGCATAATACAGCAGAGCATAAACTCAATGAGAGTTGCATTAAATATTCCTCTTTCAGTCAGCTGCTCCAGCAGTAATATGCACACTTAAATGGTCTTAACAGTGTTCTTCACAGTTTTACTGAGTAACATCAGGTTACCTTTAAAGGTTCACACCCTAGTGTGGAACATATTACAGCAAATGGCACTAAATAGCCTGTGCAGTGACAGTACAGTCCTTACTGGGTAAGATTGTACTCACTTTCACAATCTCCGTGGAAGGCATAGTGAACATGTAAAGCTGCTTTTTAGTTGTGCTAACAATCATCGTTTCCTCAGAGGGGCTGAAGCATATACATATAATGTCCTCTCTGTCTGACTGGTCTTGTTCACTGCTGCTGAAGTCCCGAGGAATCTGCACAAGGAATGCATTGCATGGGATATTACAGGTCCCTGTATTCTAGTAGTGGGCACACACACACACTTTTCATGCAGTGATTCTCTAAAAAGCATATACATAATATCAGCAATAAAATTTGGCTACTAAATAGTACCTAACCTCTGTGACAAAATACAGGACAAATAACCTGTTTCTATAGCCATTAAAGTTCAAACAGTTCAAAAAGAAAACCACAGCTCATTTCTTTTGTGGGAACCTTTGCTACCTTGCAAAAGGATGGTTGTCATTAACTTTCAGTGCAGCCTCTGACAAGTCACTTCCTTTCTGCATCACTAGGACTGTTAGCTAATGCTTACAGTGTCCTTTAAGGTCATACTAAAATTGATAATTAATCACTGAATCAGAAGCAAATAAAGAATAGGCTATCATTGTATAATTGTTTGGAAAGGCTTTTCTTCCTCTGTCAGACAGCCACCTACCCAGATTTCTTGAGTCTCCCTGTAGACATCCTTTTCCTCAGTCTTCTCAAACAGAAGAACAACCCCTGGGCTAGATGAACATGCGAAGCCTTTGGAATAAGCTGCAACTGCACATATTCGAGGCAAAGCATCTTGTAAGCCATTATCATCAGAAACCAGATCACAGGAGATATCAGAAGAATCAAAAGCAGAAAATGAAGTAAGACTTAAGAGGAATAAAAAAAAAGACAAAGAAAACAAGAATCAGTGGCAACCAAGATATTATAACCTATTCATAAAGGAGACAAAAAGGAAATCGATGAAAGATCTGCAAATAATTTTCACGCACAAGCACGAACCTATTAGTAATGGCCTCAAAGACTCACCTCCCAGGTTCTTTTGTTGTATCTTCTTCCAATTCCCTGGGTGGTATTTTGTACTCAACACTTGTCTCCCAGCGCATCTCTCCATTTTCAAGTATCATAAGCCTGCCTGTATCAGTGCCACATACAACTTTCTCTGCAGACACCCAGGCATGGCACAGGTAATTTTGGAGCTCTCCCCTTGGTAAAATCGTTGCCTTCAAAGTTCCTTCACTATATTTAAAAAGTTTAAAAATGCCATTTCCAGTGATACAAACCTGTGCATTGTCTTGAGGACTGAAGCTCACCTACAGAACAGGAGAGGGAAATTAATCAATTTGTTTAATTAGGTGTTTATTGGTGAAAACAGAGGAGCAGCAATCTCAACATCTAACACGAAAGACAGTAGGGGTAGAAAAGCCAAAGTTTTTCATGCTTAATGGGGCTTTTGACATCAGTGATCCCTGCAGTCACTTTCCCCTCTTCAGAAACCGAGAACTCATCAAGTTAGTGTTTGACGCAACCTCTGCTTGTAGCTGTACTGCAGAAGAGACAGCAACCAAGGCCACATCAACACATTTACCTGGAGGTCTCTTACCTCTCAAGAAAGATACTAATAAATGATGCGCAAAACAGGATGCAAGAATTGTTTGAGTGCCATCASGCTCTCAAGGCTCTCAGGCTCTCTAGGGCAATGCTCAGAATTGGACATAAAACAACCTGCAGGAAGCAAGGGCAGGAGCTCGTGGGGAAGATGAGCATTGCTCTTAATTCTCTCAGCTGTTCTGCTGTCTATAAGAAACTTTATTTTCAGAATACTAGTTTATAGCAAAATTCTAGATCCCTTTTTTAAAACCTCAAAATCAGAGTAATTTAGGGTGGAAGGGATCTCTTGGTTCACCTGGCCCAAGCCTCAACTTAGAGAAGGTCTTACTGGCCTCTCAGGACCATGTCCAACCAAGCTGTGAGGATCTCTAAGGACAGAGACAGTATTTGTCTCTGGGCTATTTTCCAGTGCTGCTTTCCAGCATTCTCATTGTGATTTTTCTTCTGTTTGCCTTGATAAGGCAAGGAAGAAGGAAGGAAAAGAGAAATTTCTCTATTCTTTGGCAATTTGCAACCAGCATCTCTATTTTTTTTTTTTTTTTTTTTGCTAAGCATCTGCAAGAACAACCTTTTCTCCAACTTCTTTGCAATTCCTCACTAAGATGACAACAACTGGCCTTTACTAGGCAACTCCCCTGACTCCCTCAGACCCTCTTCATAGGTTGAGTGCTCCAGTTCTTGCATTCAGGGTAACTCTGAGCTGGTTGTGGTCACCACAGTAGCTCCTTTTCTTTCTCTAGGGTTTCCCTTATCCGTCTTATGGCAACTTTTGAGTGTTGCAACATTGCAGGTGGTACTTTTGAATCTGAAGTTTGATCTTTTAACCCCTCCTTTCTGCAGTGGTGCAACAGGCTCCTCTGGGCCCGCGGCCAAAAGAACCAGTCACTTGTGAATCCCAACATCAAAAGCGGGTGGTGGAGGCACTTCCAGAAGCGCATTGCTGTGACCGTGGGTGTACTGTGGGTGTTAACAGCAGGCTTGTGTGCACGCCAGCTCTCTCAGGACTTCGTGTGGTGTCCCAGGAGAAATGGTGGAGCTGGAAGGGGCCTGGCTGTGCGGTACCTGGCAGAGGCCCTCGCCCGGGCCCTCGATGTGGGTGGTGGCCAGGAGCTGCTGTTTCTCCCAGAGCCAGTAGGCCAGGTGCACGTCAGGGGGGCCCGTGGCGGCCACCAGGTAGCGGGAGTCGGGGGAGAAGGCGAGCGCCACGAACTCGCGCGCCGGCAGCTCGGCGGCCGCCAGCGTCCGGCGCCGCCGCGTCGGGCCCAGCACCACCTCGAGCACCGTCACGGACGGCTGCTCCGCCACCGTCTCCGAGAGGGCCAGGTAGCGGCGGTTGGGGCTGATGGCCAAGGCCTGCATGCCCTGGCTCTTCTCGGAGCCTGCGGGGAGGAGAGGACAGGAGAGGGGTCAGGGCGGCCGCGGGGCCCCGCCGGGCTCGGCGCGGGCGCCACGGCCACCTGGGATGAACTTCTGCCATTTCTGCTCGATGTGGAACTGGACGCAGCTCGCGCCCGCCGCGTACAGCAGGATCTGCTCGTCGAAGAAGCAGAGGCCGCCGGCCACCTGCGAGCGGCACCCGAAGATGGCCACGGGCTGCGCCACCACCGCCGACATGTTGTCGCCGACGCCGCCGTCGCCAGGGCAACCGCGGGCCCGGCGGAAGCGGCGGCGCGCGCGGCCGGAAGCGGCGCGGGGCTGGCGGCGACAACATGGCGCGGCGCGGGGACGGCGGCGTGGCGCGGCGCGGCTCCCTCTCCTCGGCCTCGGAGGACTCGGAGCTCTCGGGCTCGGAGCTCTCGGGCTCGGAGCTCTCGGACTCGGAGGTGACCTGCGCGGGCGGGCGGGCGGCGCCGGCCGGAGCCCGGAGCCCGGCGGGGCCGCCCGCTCATGGTTTTGCTGCGCGCTCCCCTCCCCGCAGCTCCAGGAGGCCTTTTCCAAGGGCGCGCTCAAGCCGGGGCTCAACGTGGTGCTGGAGGGGCGGCCGCGGGCGCCCAACGACGTGGTGAGCAGGCGGGCCGGCGGGCCGCGGGCCGGGGGGGCGGCCGCGGCGCCGGGATAACGGAGCTCGCGGCGCTGCCCTCCCGCAGGACGGGCTGAAGCGGAGCCTCGGCGACCTCCGGCGGCAGCTCGCCTGGGTGGAGAGGCTCGACGTGACGCTGGGCCCGGTGGCGGCCATCGACAATGACACCTCAACCGGCGAGGGGCACRGCGCTCCCCAGAAGGAGGCCGTGGACCCCGAGAACGACTTCCAGAGAGAGATGAGCTTGTACGTGCGGTAAAGAGGCTCCTTAGGGGATTTCAGCACCGTGCTGGGTGCCTGGGCTCCCTGGGCGGTGTGCGGCCCCGGTGGCTTCACCCTGCGCTTCCCGGTTAGCGCAGGCTGTCCCTGGTGCCGCGTCGCCCTTGCCCCATGTCGCGTGCGGCTGTGACCGCGGGGCAGCGCTTGGGCCCTTGCGTTGTGGCACTGACGGACTCGGTGCAAAACTGAGCTTGAAATCTCACCACTTTGTTTTCAGCAGCTCAACTTCACTGTATCTAAGTGAAAGACTAATTTATAGTCGTCCAGGTTACTTAATGTAGTTTATACTCAATTGTTTTTTATCTTACCGAAATTTAACTGGAAAAGTACTCTATTAGTATCAAATACTCATATAATATTAAGTAACTAGGCTACTGTTTCAATGAGATCTGCCAGTTGCTTTCAGTGGTCCACAGCAGTTCAGTGCTCGATAGTATGTTTCTGGAGTGTTTTTGTTGCAGTTTGCTGCAGTTGTTTCTTTCGGGAATTCCTGAGCAACCAGTGTAACAATATTGCTCAAGATGACTTTTTTTTCAAGGATACTACAATGTTAGTCCCAAACCACTGTGGATTATGCAAATGTTTTCCATCTGATGGTGCTGAATTTAGGCAAAATAACTGCAAACTGATGCTTTTCCTTTTTAATTGTCTTCTGACAGGAAATAATTTCTTACCTTGCAGCASACTTTCATAATTTACCAGAAACTTTCTTTGAAAAGTTCCTGTGTTGTTTGTAGAACTGTAATTGAAAAAAATGGATGAAGTGTATGTGCTAATATTATACCAGCATCTGGAATACTTTCATTACTAGTGCTTAATGCTGTAGGGTACAGAGGACTCAGATAAGCCTGGAGTGTAACAAAAATGTATCTAGAATTAGCTGGCTCGTACGATCATAATTTCTTTCACTGTCATGAGAGGTGCTCAATACCCAGCAACATTTGGTGGGTGCTGTGTCATCCCTCTAGTTACCGACAGGCTCAGGCTGCCGTCCTGGAAGCGCTACCGAGGCTGCATAAGCTCCAGGTTCCTACTAGAAGGCCAGATGATTATTTTGCAGAGATGGCCAAATCTGACCAACAGATGCAGAAGGTGAGTGGTTGGAATGATGGCGGGTTCTTTCCCATGTTACAYGTTGGTTTTAGCTTTTCTTAGGCATTAGCTTTGAGATTTGATTGTGTTCAGTTAATCGTTACCTTCATTTCTGTGGCAAACGCCTGTGACAATGTTTCTGTTTGAAATTTTGTTTGTGTAAGTACTTCTTTGGAATGTGGGAACTTCCGTAATGAGCTGGAGTGTGATACATAGTTTCTCCTCAAATAAAATTATTTTAAAGATACAGAGGTTTTTCCTCCCATGTATGTGAGAATGCTCTAAAATTTGGGGTCAACTGTGGCATTAATCTGTAATCTTTTTTTTTCCCAATTTAAATGTTAATCTTCATTTATGCTCAGTGTCTTTTGATTCTTACCGATTTTAAAGAATATGTTATTGAACTAAATGAGTGAGAGCTGGTAGTAGTTTTGTAGTAAGAGACTGCAAAGCCCTTTTATCATAAATCATAAAGTACACATTTCCCTTTTCCGTACTCATTTTGTTTTCTTATCCCCCAATTAAGATTCGACAGAAGCTCAAGAGTAAACAAGAAGCAATGGAGAAGTCGGAGAAGGCAAAACAGCTCCGTGCAATGAGGAAATATGGCAAGAAGGTGAGGTGGAGCTAGAGAAGTGACCTATGAGAAGTCTTCTGTGATAAGAATATAGAAGTTGAGTGGGAGTCACGTGAGGCAGGCTAAAATATATGGAATCTGTTTAGTCTTTTACCTCACTGCTTTGAAAGGAGGGAGAATAAAAGATGAGATACCTAAAAGGTCTTGGGTGCGAAATTGTACAACACTAATACCATTTTTGATCTCAGGTGCAAACAGAGATTCTGCAGAAGAGACAGAAGGAGAAAAAATCCATGTTGAATGCAGTCAAGAAATACCAGAAAGGTAAAGCGGACATGTTTAAGTGAATGTGTAATTGGAGCATCAGGGATGCRTGAGGAATGCAGGGCACTGTGAGGTGTGGTGTCAATCAGCACAGGCGGGCAGTGGGCTTGAGAGGCCACTGCTGTTCAGAGTTACACCCCAGTGGCAACAAAAATCCTCCCAACTACCTGCCTTCCAGTGTGGTGACTTGTTATCCTTGCTTAGACTGAAAAATCTTATATTCTCTGGTGGCAGCAGAGCAACTGTTTTCTTTGCTCTTGTAGGTCTCTCTGACAAGYTGGATTTCCTGGATGAAGAGCAGACTTCATCTCAGGGGAACAAGAAAGGCGGTGGAGGTCAACGCGTAAARAAAGGGTGAGACTAGGAAAGAGAAATACTAATGACAGAATTCGTGATTTTTTTCCAGTCTTATCAGAGATTTTGTGGAACAATGAAAGCTGTTTTAATTGGTATTCCTTAACAGTAAGTCCCAGGTAGCTTTCTCTCTCTCTGAGAATTGTGAACAGAATAGAGAGGTGATGAAAATATGCTATTTTCTGTCTTTTCAGTACAAGTGGTAAGGTTTGTGCTRGCTGAAGGGAGTCTGTGAGCAGATGCATGTGCCTTCTTGGGAGCTTGCTATTGCATTGTTTTTTTCAGACCAAATGCCAAACGACGATACAAGAATCAGAAGTTTGGTTTTGGTGGGAAGAAGAAGGGCTCGAAGTGGAATACCAAGGAGAGTTTTAATGATGTATCCGGCTTTCAAGCAAAAGTCGCTCACAACAAAGGCCCAAGAAAAGGAGGGAAAAAAGCCCTCAATGTAAGTAAAATGTTGCATGCGAGTGATTGCAGTTGGCTGGGAAGTCAGTCCTGGTCTGGCAGGGCAACCTGAGTGCATTGTGTTGCCTCCAGGAAGTGACAGTGTTTGTGGGGACATAGCATAATTCAAAGACAGACAGCGCTAAGGATGGTAAATTGTTGTCTGAGCAAGTAATTGAGCAGAAGAGTGAGTGGGTGCTGTTGGTCGCTACCTGTGCGAAAAGCCTCCTTCTCTGGAGAGACTGACAAATATCCTCTCCTTGGTATCTTTCCCATGCTATTGAGCTAGAAGAAAGTTTGGGGACATGGAAGTAATCGAATCTATTTTCTTTTTGCAGAAGAGACCTGGAAAGAGAGCAAGGCAGAAAATGAAGAGCCGAGCACGCTAAGTGGACTGTTCTGTTAAGTGGGGTTTTTTGTCCCTTTGTTGTAAAATATTTCTGCTATCTCCAAGCATCTAACTACAGAGCAGGCTAGATGCTTCCATGTGGCGTGAAGAAAGTTAGTGAAAAATAGTGCCTTATCACTTATTTCTTACTGTGTATATCCTGWAGGAATTTGTGTTTCCAGTTTAAAGGTTTGGTGCATGTGAACTCATTAAACAGTTTGCACAGAACTCCTATGCCTAATTTGTGTTTATGTTGTGAACAGTGGTTGAGGTCTCTGTTCCCTTTAATCCCATAGCTTCTCATGTGGCTACTGTTGACTTGTACTTGCTGCCCTTGAATTCTGGGTCATGTTGTTGATGTTGAAAATAAATCTTTTGAGGGGGCTCTTTGTGTAGATGGTTTCGGAAATAACAGTGAAACAAAAGCAGCACTCTCAAAAATGGGTTTATTTTTATAACTTGTCAAGCTGTGAATTTGGTCGGCCTGGCTSCTGGCTTCTCTCCTTCCTTTTCTCATCTTTTGCCAGAAATCTACCAGAATCACTTAATTATTAACAAGGTCTAACCCGTTAGATGGCATTAACTGTTTGCATTGGAGTTGTGTGCCTGGACCACACTATTGCAGGTTCTCAGACTGCTCCTTCAGGCGCCAGAAGGCAGCCATGTATCTCGTGATCTCCGTGCTGCGGCGTGGGAAGTGCAGTCTGCAGTCAGTGCGGTCCACGTGAATCTGGAGTGGGGAAAAATAACCATAGCAGGAGTAGTCACGTACTTTAGCTGTCAGGTGTAGTAGTATTCCCTCCTGAGAGTAATGCATGGTGTTCACTGATGCTAAGAAATGCCTGAATCACTTCAGAACAAGGTACTGCTTATTTTCATTATGAAAGGTAGTAGGACTTGGTGAAAAAGCAAACAATATTTCCTAAAAATTCACTTTAAAAGCAGTCACGTTGAAAACAGTATCATGGATCCTGACTTCTAAAATAAAGCTCAGTTTCCTGCACTCAGTTTTAATTGCTTCTTCCCTGCCTGAAACCAGCAGTCAGTGTCTAAAGGCTTAAAGCTGAGTGGGGCTGTTTGATTCTAGTCTTGTCAACGGTAACTAATTTACCTGAAGTCTGATATGAAAAGTTGTTGAGAACTAACCTTGTTTACAGTTTTCTTCATAACAAATCAGCATTAGTCAGGCCTTCTGTGGCCTTCCTGGAAACATTAAGCTATCCATAAAATCAGTCATGGTTATAGCTATCCCTTTGTCAGATATGATCAATGTTTTAGCTTGATAATAAAAATTCCTTTTCTTCCCAGTTATTTCCTCTTCTGCAAGTGAATCCTCATTTATATTTAGCCAATTATTAAATTTCTGGTTCTACTTTAAAGTTGTCTGAAACAAAGTACAGTTGCATATTTCCCACAATACTTAGGTATAACACTTCATACTGCTCAGTATTTCTCCTGGCTACATAATTTCGTGAACACATGTAAACACTTGGCATTTGCATATATGCTTGGGTTGAATGTTACTCTTGATACGTTCCCTTCAATTTGTCTGATGTTTTTGTGTTCAAAACCTGTGCAAGTCCTCAAACACTAAACTTCAAAAGCTCACTGTCCGTGAACATTTCTGCCTTTTCCTGGTCAGTCCTGTTTTGCGTCTTTGTCACAAATTGTTTTCTGGCACAAATATCTTTTACTGTGATGGCCTAAACACTCCGAATTGCAGAGAGTTGGATCCTTAAGCACCTAACTCACCAAAGGAGTTGTGTTCCAGCCAATTTCCTGGCTTTCAGTTTGTGGCTCTGAGTATTTCTTGGTTGGCTCCAGTGCTGCGTGGTGAATAAGATTCAGGAACTTGGCTGTTGGTTTAAGAGAGACAGACACAAATGCAAGAAAGGATGTTTAAAAACTAGCAAAAGTCAAACCTTTTTTGGAGGCAACTCCTGTGCTTCCACAAGAAGGCAGGGTGATGTTTCTATTTGAATTTATCCTGACAGAGCTTCAAAATTTGTCTTTCTGTACTGGCTGGTTGATTCTCTCTTCCTTGTCTACTAYCCTGTAATGTCTTACGCTTCTTAGGCCATACCTAATGTTATAATCCACCCTGGCCTTCCTCAGGTGTCCAAGACCTCTTCTCTCTATCTGGTTTTGATTTTTTTCCCCTTGGGTGAAGTTTATGTTCTCAAGCAAAACTTTAATAGTAAAAAAATAAAAATAGCAATCTCATGAATCCAGGTTTATATTCATCATTAAAGGGGCAGGACCTTAAACTAGAGGGAAAAAAAAAAGGAAAAAAGCCTTATTTAATAATTAAAAAAAAAAAAACAAAGGGGACCCACTTAAAAAGTATTGAGCCTTATTTAATAATTAAAAAAAAAAAAAAAACCCACCACTGTATTTTATGTTCTTATCCTGCCAGTGGGGTTTCCATGGTGTCAGCTTTGGGATTAGCTTAGAGTGTTTTGGTCCTAGTTATTGGACATTCCCTTACTTAAAGGCCACCGGGGTTGCTCAGGGGCTGCTTACCGTCCGCAGGCTCCTCTATGTTGTCGTGCCAAGCCATGGGCTTCCTGGTGATCATGTGAACTGCGGAGAAAGGAAGGAGGGAGGAGAACGGCTTCCATCGGCACCGCACCGATGGAAGGGGCAGTTTTGAGCGCAAACGGGGGGATTTTGGGGGGAAGTTCTCCCGCTCTGCGGCCCGGGCGGCACCCGCGGTGTCGGGGCTCACCGGGCCGGAGCGGGTTCACGCCGTACTCGGTGTGCAGCCGCTGGCAGCGCAGCTCCCGCCGCACGCGCTCGCGCAGGATCCGCTCCTGCTGCACCGCGTCCGCCGGCTCCYTCTCGCCGCGCCGCGCCGCCATGCCGTCTCCCGGCAACGGCCCGCGCGGGCGCTCATTGGCCGAGCCCCCCGCGGGCCGTTTCACCGCCTCGCCTCCTATTGGCCGCTGAGTTAAAACCCCGTGGGCGCTGATTGGCCGCGCCGGCCGCCGGCCGGTTTGAATCGTCGGTGCCCGGTGGCCCGGAGGGCTGCGCGAGGGGACGCGACCGGACCGGACCGGACCGGACCGGACCGGACCGGACCGGACCGGACCGGACCGGACCGGACCGGACCGGACATGGAGGGCGCGGGGCTGCGCTGCACCGTGGCCCTGGAGCAGCCGCTGCCGGGCGCGGGGGCGCCGCGGCGCCGCGTGCTGCGCGACGCGCTCGTGCAGCTGGGCCGCAACGAGCTGCGCGAGCCGGTGCTGCGCGTCACCGGCGGCAACGCGGCGCCGCTGAGCTTCGCGCTGGGCGGCGGGGG